GTTAGGGCTGGTGTGTGAGGCGACAAATCAATATTTCTCTCCCTCTCTCCCTCTCTCTCTTCCTTTCTTCTCCCTCTTCCACCCCGCCTCCTCCCTCCTCTCTCCAAAGTAAAAATAAAAATGTTTTTAAAGTGATTAGAAAAAACACACAACAATGTTCCAGAAGGAGACTTTGGGTAATTGGAATAAAGTTTTTAAATGACCACCATTAAGGGGCAATGTTGGAATCCAGGTAAAACCAGAAAGAACTGATAGAAGATGAAAGGCTCACCAAACTGGAAATCACAATAAATTTTAGTATGAGTTCAATAAATGCAGGAATATAGGTAGTTTCTGAGAGCATTAGCTATTAAAAGGTCTTTTTCTGATAATTTGCTGCTATACCAAAATAGAATAAAACTATGTTTATACCCTTTGCCAGAAGATTAAATAAAATGCATTAGTAAGTCAAAGAATCTTTTTATGGCCGAGACCGGTTTGGCTCAGTGGATAGAGCGTCGGCCTGCGGACTGAAAGGTCCCGGGTTCGATTCCGGTCAAGGGCATGTACCTGGGTTGCGGGCGCATCCCCAGTGGGAGATGTGCGGGAGGCAGCTGATCGATGTTTCTCTCTCATCGATGTTTCTGGCTCTCTATCTCTCTCCCTTCCTCTCTGTAAAAAATCAATAAAATATATTTAAAAAAAGAAAAGAAAAGAATATTTTTATGAAAAATATATAGGAAAGCAAATGCAAGATTAAAATAATTCATAAGCCCAGCTGGTGTGGCTCAGGCTCAGTACTTGAGCGTCAACCTATGAACCTAAGAACCAGGAGGTCACAGTTAGATTCTCAGTCAGGGCACATGCCTGGGTTGCAGACTCAATCCCCAGTGTGCGGCGTGCGGGAGGCAGCCTATTGATGATTCTCTCTCATCATTGATATTTCTGTCTCTCTCCTTCTCCCTTCTCTGAAATTGATAAAACAAACAAAATTGTACATAAGACTATGTGAATTAAATCATTGTTAAAATATTAAGTATGAAATTGCCTTTTATAATATTTTCATGTACTATAACTTGAAGGAATTAAACAAATTAAAATTTTAGATATTAACTTCAAAGACCAAAAACTCAGTGCCATGTTCCTAAGGTACTCTAAACAGACTGCTTCACATTCTGTAAATTTATAACTCTATCATAACTCTATCAAAATATATCTGCACTTTTCTCTTTTACTCTCATTTCCTTTTCCCTTTATTCATTGTTTAGTGTCATCAAAACTTATCCTGATGAAAAATAATTTGACTGATTTTGAGACCAAAAAGGGCCTATCATGTTGATAATAATTATGTGTCCTAAAGTCTGCTTTTAAATATTTGCAGAATTTTCTATAGCAAAGTTTAATTCCTGACTGACTTCTAGATTCTTGAAAATCTTATACTCATATACACATTTTCCACTATGACCACTGCCCTCTTTATCCCCATCACCACCACCAACACTGGCTGTTGTATCTGGCATACATATGAATGTTCTGTTCTCTAAGCAGAAATTAATTACAGAATAAATCTAATATAAAATGTATTCCATACTGGATTATTTTCTCTAAATTACTCTTTCAACTGCATATGTCTTTAAATGTACCTAATAAGAAGTTGACTGTAATTGGCCTCATTTTTATTCCATTGTGTCCTTTTAATCCTGACTACTATATAATCAGTCATAGAAATTATGAGATTTCAAGAAAGTAAAGTCAGGCCTTTGAGGCATTGTTTTTTTTTCATTCTGAGGAATGATAGTGGTATGATGGCTACAAAGAAGAATGTCATTCTTAGGAGATATATGTAGAAATATTTAGGAGTGAAATGTTAAGATATCTGCACTTTCAATTGGTTTGGCAAATATATAGTACATATGGCAAGAGGATAATAAATGGTGTATATATAGATGAAGTATATGAATATCCATTGTACTATTAAGCTATCTGTAGATTTGAACATTTCAAAATAAAAACTTCGGGAGGGGCATGGGGAAGAATTTCAATTCAGATGTCACATCTCCAAAGGCTTTTTTGACTTTTCTAGTGGAATTATTTTTCCTGTTTTCAGTATTCCCACAAGACTATTTTTATTTTAGCACTTAACAAATTTGTAATTGCCTGTTTACAGGTCTAACTTGGTGGAATTGGTCTCATTTTCATTCCCAGAACTTAGCTCTTTAACTGGTTCTTACTAGATAATTAGTGCTTGTTGTTTGAATGAGATCACTGATAAGCCAAAGTGACCGGTTAAAACTGAAATCCAGCTATTGTCTATGTCACATTGTGCCTAGAATTTAATCAAATCCATCAAACAAAAAGCCTATTAAACACTCCTATGTGACCTGTACCATTATAATACCCACATCAGCATTCAAATTAGTTTAAAAATAAAGCATAACAACTCTAAAGCAGCATAACCCTTAAATTACAGGCATACTTTCATTTTAAATTATTTTAGTATCAATACAAGGAAATTAGGGATGCATACCTGTTCTGTATCCTTCAGATTGGAGGTCTGGTTTTCTTCCATGACTCCACGCTGCTCATTTTCCCATGGTAATTTATTTTTTCCTTTTCCTGCACTTAATACCCTCCGGGTACAGATAGTTGGACTGTAAGATCCATAAATTTGCATGCTATCCCTTGTGTGGTCACCACAGGGACAGTATGCACTCTGAGTTCTGTTACCAGTCAAAAGCCAATCTGTATCTGCTCCATGTGCCAAATGGCTTGACCTACCCTGGGCAGATGATGGCATGAGTATGGCATACTCCACAAATCCCTGTTCCGTTAACCTTGGGAGGGTTTTCCTAGCCAATCTGGCCTGCACAGCATTCATCACTCCATCTCCATTATCTTGTAGTTCAACAGTATCCACAGCTTTGAAAAGGATGTTGGTTTTACCTGAGCCCATTGATGATGCCAACACAGCAAAGGCTTCCAGAGCTGCTTGTCGCACCCTGCGTTTGCTATCTACAAGAGCTGGGGCAAGATCAAATGACAATTTGGGTAAGTCAAAATCCTCACTAGGGTATGTCAAGAGGGAGCAAATGCAAATGTTCACCACCTCCTCTCGAACTCTGGAATGCTTATGTTTGAGATGTTCCAGGAGTAAACAAAGCACCTGTTGAGGACCTACTTCCTTCATGAGTTTGAGGAAGATTTTCATGTATTCTTGTTTGATCACCAACTTGTTGTCTGCCAGCACTTTGACAGAAGCTGCTATAACTGGTCCCAAGAAGTGCTGTACCTGCTCTCCAAGGCGAATAACCAGTAAATGCAGAACCTGAAGTGTGCCATGGACCACTCTGAAGTTAGAATCGTCTAACAAATTATACAGCAAGCTAATAAAACTGACAAGGCTAGAATGAGGATTAGAACTTGGGTTAAATCGTCCCATCACCTGTTTTAGTTCCTCAACAGCCTGAGTCCGGTTCTTATAGTCTTCCTGATCTAACAATCTTGAATGCAGCTCCTGAGGAATAATCCCAAATTTAAGATTGCTGTTGGAAACGGTCACTGCACAGGGAAGGGGGTCTTCGGGAAATCCAGAAGCTTCAAGTTCCAAATAATAAGGAATCTGGCTGCCAAACTGGGACTCCAGGCGGCGATTGTAGTGTCTCCTCAGGGCAGACGGCAGGCGAGAGATATAGGATTGAAACCTCTCTTGGCCAAGTCGCTCCCCAATTTGTTGAAGTGCAGAGAAAGCTGTCTCAGATTCTTCTTCTATCTCCTGATCGCCAAGCTTTCGGGCTAAGGATATTATCACCTCGGTAAGATCTAGGCCCAGCAACAAGTCCTCAGGAGTAAGCAAGATAGGGAACAGCAGCGCTGTTGCAGTTCTAAGCCGAGCATCAGTACTTTCCAGGCCTTGCTGTATAAGCGTTCTTAGCACCTGCCCAGAACTACGTTTCAGACAAATGTGGAGGATCTGCAGCGCATCTTTCCGCAGGGCCGGATTCTCTTCTCGTAAAGAGACAACCAGTTGAGGCAGAAGTGCTAAGCTAAAGGCCTCTTCCAGCTGGCCTGCCTCCCCCTGACCTCGAAGAACGTCCAAGAGGAGTTGCAAGCAGAGTCGCTTCTCATCTCTACCTCCTTCCACAAGCACTCGGCCCAGGGCTCGATACAACGCTTCCTTCCGTCTGGGGAAGCCAAGTCGACCGCCACGCCGCGGCAAAACAGCCTGCAGCGCCTGAAAGGCCTCCGAAGGATCTGGCGCGGTCCGCAGGAGTTGAAGGAGCCGAGTCTCCTCTTCATCCCCCCCTGACAAACCGCCTCCAGACCCAGGCCAACTACTGGAGATAGCCTCCGCGGGCATCAAGAGGGCCGAGGCCAGAGGCGAAGGAGTGGAGGGGCAGGAACCGTGATCTCCCGCAGCTCCACGGCAGCAGTTTTTCTCGCCTCTCATGGTGCCCGCACCTCGACTTTCATCAGTCTCTGGGGCAGAAGGACGGCTGTGGCTCTCGGGGCGATAGGAACATTTGGCTGGAAGGGGAAGCAGCAGGAGCAGCGCGGAGGGCGCAGCCTCCATGGTGGGTCGTTAAGTGGCAGAGGCTGGAGGAAACCATCGTCTCCGAAGGGTTTGATGGAGCCCAGCCTTCTTGTTCCTCTCCAAATCCCAAGCTGCAGAGGAGAAAACACAGCTTCAGTCAGCTTCCAAGCCACCCCCAACTCCGGAAGCCCTCGGCAAAATGGCCCCCGGCAAAGCCCCAGACCCCACAGCTACCACCGGGCGTAACCAGGGGCGCCACGTGACCAAACCCATCGCTTCCATGGTGATGCATCAGCGCGGACCTTTTGACCCGGAAATCAACCTGCCGTGGTGAATGCTGGGTCATGTAGTCCACGTCAGGTGTTAAGACTGGGCAGAGGTCTCCTGGAAAAGGAAGTGAGAACAATGCGAACATAGCGAGCTTAGTGAATGTATCTGGAGCCGAGTACTCGAAGAAGGTGTGTTGGGGGAGCCGCGGGGGAGGAGGCATTAGGCGGAAGTGACGGTCTCCAGGTTCAGGGCGGAAGTTCCCTGCCCCACCCGTAAGAATTGAGGTTTGATTAGAGGCAAGCGAGGATCCTGCCCGGACTCCAGTTGTCCTCGGCTCCTCCTCCTGTCGTTGCCTGCGTGATTCCTGGGACTCAGGTATTTTCCTTTCGCTGTCCACCTGCGGCGCAGGCATTGGCAGAGTTTTGCCGGGGTGCCGTTGGTGCTGGAGAGAGGTAAAGAAATAGACGGGAGTAAGCAAGGAGAGAGAGGAGACATCTTCTTGTGCAGGACTAGTTAGCGTTGTGAGCGCGTTGCTCTCTACAACCCGGAGGCAGTGCGATCCTTCTCCCCTGCCGTCCGCCTCAGAGGCAGAAGATCCGGATCAAGACCAGGCTCAGAGCTTGCGTTCTTTTTTCAAATCCGGGTTTTGGGCCCTTGCACTCCCCGCCCTATCCCCGACCCCCCATTTCCTACTTTGCTTATCCTTCCCTCCGGCCGTGGAGGGTTCAAGGTTTTATGTCATTTTTCCTTACCACCATCACTAAGTTCTCTTTGGAAACATACGTAATCTGTAATAAACCTATTTTTCCCTAAACCTAACCGCCTCTCCCTTGTGTTCTCCAAGTCTCCCAAGGCAGTTCCCCTGTGGGACTTACCTCTCCACCCCTCCCGCTCCCCCGCCGCCCCAGGCTCCCTCCAGGATGCTCGTGCATCTCTGCAGCCACTCAGTCTTCTGGAAACGGAGATTGCAGAGAATATTTCCGTTGGGTCGACTTCTTGGCATCGTGGTCCTAAGAGAATTCTGCCCTGTAGGTTTAAGGCTGATACTAAACGTTTCTTTGTTTTAGGACTTAGGTGAACTGTGGATTTGATTAGCATTTTAACCTTCTTGTAAGTGAAACGTTAGCGGACACAATTGAAGAGATGGAGTGTTTGTTGTAAGACTGACTTCTCTGAAGTGTGGAAGAGAATTTTTGTTGTTGTTGAAGGAATAACACAATTCCTTTTGAATGATCCAGTGAGCAACGTCTGAGTTTTCATTTGAAGTCTCCAGTTTATGCACTTCAGATGCAAGTGCGCCTACCCTGCTCTGTGCCACATGGGATGTTTAAGTACATTTTTAAACCTTAGAATAATTGAGTCACATGTGCCAAACCACTTTATAAATAATGTTGATGAATAATTTAAGTTTAAGATTAATATCTGATGTTGTCTGACAGCACAATTTGAATATCATAGGTTTCTTTTGGGGCTAGAATAAATGTAAATGCGTTTTGTGTAAACCATGCATCCGTGTTTTGCTTTTAAGTTCTAATCTAGATTGTTCCTTTAAAATTACTCATTTTGATGGGTAAGTGAATCTGCCTAAATTTGGTTTGGCTATGTTTCAGTAGACTAAAGAAAAACGATCTCTCTCTCTCTCTCTCTCTTTCTCTTTCTTATAGGAGCAGAGTAAGGTCAGGGAGAGAAAACCAAGAGATGATTGTCACAGTTGTCAATGAGACATTATGTCTAGTTCTCTTACTTCCAATGTATACTTTTACTCAAGTTTTCTCAGACTTCAGGAACACAACTCAAACTAATCTAAATAAGGGAATGGTTTACACATTAGAATGTACACATTAGAATGCCAGTTTATGTTGGAATAGAAGATTACCCTTTCCAGTGATTAGAATTTTCAGGTTGAAAATCCAGTGAAGTCTTTCATGTATCTGAGAACTTGGGAATAGTAAGTAGAGGTTGTGTGGTAATCATAAAGTTAAAGAAAAGGAACTTGGAAAGTCTTGAATGGTATTCATCATCAAAGTTATGGTAGAAGCTTAAGAATTATCCCTTATCTCTATAGAGCAGGGGTGGGGGAAGGTCCAGCCGAGGGCCGTACAGTATAAGGTTCTCGAAATCATTTGGTCTGGCCCTGCCGAGGCATTAGGGATGAGTTAATTAAATGTTTGTCTGAATATAGAAGGCCCTTTGATGTCATAAATATCCAAACGCCCCTTGGCAGAAAAAAGTTTCCCCACCCCTGCTATAGAGAATTCTTCGCAAGTCCTGTTCCTTAGATTAACAAAGCAAGATAAAGTTTGATTTTGACTACTTTTCTCTGGGCCTTGTAGATAGATCACTGTGTTATAGATTGCAATTTACTTTATAGCTGTTACATTAAATTTCTTTGATGAAGATTTGAAAGATGCATTAATCTCCATGGTGGATATTTAGGAAATGGGATCTTAACAGCATCACACATCTTACTAATTGTCTGTGGAAGATAAATCTCATCCATTTAATGTGTATTGTTTATTTCAATTACAAAGAATTTTTTAATCTTATTTTTGAAGTGTACAAATCCAGGAAATTCTAGGAATTGTGTATGGACTAGAAAAATGCCTTTTATATTGAACCATAAATAGAGGTAGGATAAAAAAATTAAATTCTAGAAGAGTGGAATTCTCTGTTAGGTGTATTAATAGTACACCTCTGAAAGTTGAAAGTGGATAATTAAAGATACATTGAAAATAGCAAATTAAAGTAAAACAACTTAAAAATGTCAATAATTTCAAAAAAGCTTAGTTGAAATAATGGATTACAGGAGTGTTTGTGATATATACCTTAGTTTTTTGAACTGAATTTAAGCAAGTTAAATACAATTGCCCTAAAAACATCCTTTATTTCCTTCATCAGTGATATTAATTGATTGCATAAACCATTATAGTTTTTTCTGTGTTCGTACTCAAATTTTACAGACATCCAGGAATATTGAAAATCAATGTGAGTTCTGTAAACTACTATGACTTTTGTGTAGGTTAAGAAGTTATTGTGAAGAAATATTATGCAAATGAAAGGTGTTATTAATGTTAACAGGTAATTATAATAACACTACCATATATTGAGTGTTTGCTATGTGCCATACACTATGTTAGGTATTTATTGAATTTTAATTCATTTAATCCTCACAACAAATTTTTGAGGTTACATTTTCTACATTTGTAATTTAGCAATTTTTATGGATGTTCCTATTGGAAAGTAATTGGACAGAGAAAAAAAGTAAAATTAAGGTTAGTCGTTTAGCTACTTACTTGGAGCTTTGGGGAAGTTTTGGTGGGGGAGAGTGTTAAACTATAGGATAAAATTAGATTTTTTCATTATTAATCATTCATATATTTGATTATATATTTGATTATATATATATTTTAATTTTTTTGGTTCCTGTTCTGAATCTTTTTAGTTTCTTGTTTGAGTCAAAACTTTAGGAAGGTTTAAGATATTATGAGCTTATTTTTACACATGTGGGATTAAACAGGTGCTATGGATTTAAATCAGTGATAATGTTTTAAATTACTTAGGTTTATGTTCCAAAGCCATTGTACATTTCTGACTGAGTCAAAACTATAATTTTACACAGAAATCCAATTTTCGTTGCATTTTAAGCAATAATTTGAATAAGTTAACAGGATTTCACATCCATTTAAACCAGTTTTTCAGTGGCTAGGTTAATTATGTAACTTTTAGTTTTCAGTAATGCCTTTCTTCTGTTTTTCCTGATTCTGTGATGCAATGATTCATATTATATAACATGCTCTAATTTTACTATTGTTTCTCCAGATATAAAGAAAGTCTATCTCAGAGAAAAGGCAAATATATCAATTTGTGCCATAGGTTCACTCATAAAATTCTATGCCATCATTAGTTGAATTCTTCTGTGAGCAATTGAACTGTCGGAAAAAAATTTAAGAAAAGAGCTAACGTGATAAAATATTCTCTTAAATTCACAAATTACACTTTTACAGAAAGGTACATGTGTGTTTGGATTTTTTTAAACAACTTCATTTCCCTTCATCATTTATTTGCTTTCTTTGTAGCAGATAATTGCCTCCCAACTGATTTCAGCACCACTGTCAGCACCACTGTTTTGTAGCTTAGATGTCAATTAAGCAGTTACAAAACACCTGGCTTGACCTTTATTAACTTTGTTTCAGAACCTAAAATTGTGAAGCTGCTGTAGACTCTGGAAAGTTTAATTTTATCTAACAGTGTATTTATGTTGTGGATATTTATTATATATCAAATATATAATAAGAGATGAATGTGATTAGAAGTGAAGTACAATACTCTTACCTTTTAAAACACTTTTCAAATGGATGCTATTTATTCAATCTTGACTGATCTAGTTATTTGGATTTAGAGTATCCTAAATATTTGTTTATGGTACCAAAATTAAAAACAAAATAAGTATGGCAGGGATGTGGGGGAAGAAGAATCAATCCTTCTATGATATAAATAAAAGGAAATGAATGTTCCATGATCCCTCTTTATTTCCTTTTAAATCCCTTATGTATTTTTGTGTCTGATCTGCATAGTGTATGTTTATATTTTATATATGTGTGTGTGTGTGTGATCTATATTTTTGGGGTTTCTACTTTTCACTTTTTTATTTTTTTGTTTGAATTAAAACTTTAACAAGATTAAGAAATTATGAGCTCATAAGTGAGGCAGAATAACATACTATTTTATTTTAGAACTCTGGAAACAGTGTGCCACGGTTTAACTCTTCCCTTGGACCTAATTTCTTCATGCTTTGATTTCTTCATCTGTAAAATGGGAATAATAATAACAGTGCCTATCTCATGGTGTTACTCTGAAGATGAAAGGTGTTCATACATGTAAAAAGCTTACTTTATTATGACAATAGATGCTCTTTATAGAATAATTTAGTCTTGTCAGGAGTGGCAACAATTATAAATAGACTCAGTAAATATTTTAAGCAGGTCAACACTGTATTACATATGTCTTCTTTTTCCCCCATTGATCTCTCCCCGGCCCCTCCCTCCACCCAGCACATGCCCTTACCCCCCTACTGTCTGTGTCCATTGGTTATGCCCATATGCATGCATACAAGTCCTTTGGTTGATCTATTACCCCACCCTCACCCTCTCCTGCCTTCCCTCCGAGGTTTGACGGTCTGATCGATGCTTCTCTATCTAGGTATCTATTTTTGTTTATCAGTTTATGTTGTTCATTATATTCCACAAATGAGTGAGATAATGTGTATTTATCTTTCTCTGATTGGCTTATTTTGCTTAGCATAATGCTCTCCAGGTCCATCCATGCTGTTGCAAATGGTAAGAATTCCTTCTTTTTTACCACAGCATAGTATTCCA